TTGCTGTACCTACTTTTATTTAAAATATTTTATTATAATTTAGGCTTTTTTAGCCTAGTTTGGTCCAAGATTCCAAGCATATTTTTCATATGTTTTAAGGCAATAACCAGTGGTTGATGCTATGACAAAATCAATATCATGAAATTTTTGTACACACAGTTAAAGCTGCAAAAATATTAGAATTTTAAGGTTTGGATAATTACGAAGAATTAAATCGAGATTCAGAATTGCTCTTTTATTATATTTTATTTATTTTAAAATACCACAGATCTTTTAACGATTTAGACTACAGAGACAGGTGGAATCACGAATTCATGATCATGAAGCGGTATATACCAAGTTTAGCAGTTTACAAACACCTCACTCAAAAATCCGACGATTAGGCAAGATTTTTTCCACTCAAAATTTTCGTAAATTCTATAATTCATACTTGACTTCTGACTGGAGTTTTTCTTCTGGGGACATTGACTGTAATGTTAGTGATTTTCTAAATAGACTTGTATCTATTTTTAATAAAGCATTTCCTCTATTAAACATCAGGCCAAAACATAACAAACCTTGGATTACCAAAGGCATTCGCATATCTGCGAAAAATATGCGTTCTCTGCTATATATTAAAAAATTAAATGACAGTATCCCCATCTCTGATTATATCAACAAGTACAGAAAATAAAACTACTCAAAGTAGCCAAAAAATCCTACTTTTATAATCGGTTAACAAGCTCCAAAAATATTTCAAAAGAAACTTGGTCAATAATAAACGATTTTCGAAATAAAACCAGTACAGCGAATCAAACCTATTCTTTTCCTAACCCCGATAAATCTAAATGATTACTTTGTTAATGTGAGTAAAAATATAACCTCATCTATTTCGCCACAACAAGATCCAGTTTCCTATCTCTCTAATTCAAAAAACATTGCTGATACCTTCTCTTTAAGACCAGTTGATAAGACGGAACTCATTTCAACAATTCGTAGTATAAAAAGCACATTGTCCTGTAGTACAGATGGATTAATTATTAAAATTTTCTCAAATCTACCGCATAATGTTTTGGAGGTAATGGTCTCGCTAGTAAATAATTCCCTTGAAAAAGGTACATTCCCTAACTGCCTAAAGACTGCCATCGTCGTTCCTCTTCATAAAGGTGGAGAAAAATCTGATGCCTGCAACTATAGACCTATTGCCTTGTTACCAGCACTATCAAAAATTATTGAAAGACTTATAAAAGTTCGACTTATGCCCTTTCTCCTTAAATATAATATTTTATCGCAAAATCAGTTTGGCTTTTTGTCTAATAAATGCACTAGTGATGCCATATTTTCTGTGTTACATGATGTATATCTATCACTAAACAGTAACCTGTCCTCCGCCACCGTTTTCTGCGACTATTCCAAAGCCTTTGACTGCGTAAATCACGACATTCTATTAAAAAAATTAACTTTCTATGGAATTCGGGGTGTGTCTTTGAACTGGTTCAAAACTTACTTGGTAGGTAGGAAACAATTGGTTAGGATAAATGACACCGACTCTAGTTGTAAAGATATTGAGTGTGGAGTACCGCAAGGTTCAGTATAAGGTCCCATTCTTTTTTTACTTTTCATTAATGACATCACTTACTTGCAAATTAAAGGGAAAATTTTTCTATTTGCTGATGATACCAGTATTATTTGGAGCAGCTCTGATATTTCAACGTTTCATTCAATTATAACGGCTGATTTACTTATAATCAAGGCTTGGTCAGACTCCAACTTACTTAGCTTTAACGTAGATAAGACTGTAGCATTATCTTATAAAGGAGTCATGCAACCCTTGCTTTTGAATGAGAGCCAAATCAATATCGTAAATTCCGTGAAATTTCTAGGTATTCTCATTGACAGTGATCTCAAATAGTCCTTGCATACTGACTCCTTAAGGAAGAAACTAGTCTCAGCTTGCTTTGCAATAAGATCTGTTTCGAAGGAACTAAATTTATCTTCTGCCAAAATGGCATATTTCTCATTGTTCGAGTCCCATCTTCGATATGGGCTTCCATTTTGTTGTTCTAGTACAGGGGCCCAATTTGATACTATTTTTAAGTTGCAAAAAAGAGCAATCCGTTATCTATTTGGTCTCAAACAAACAACTCATTGCAAGACCTACTTAAAAAATCACGTAATTTTGACGCTTTCCTCTTTATTTATTTTGGAAACGGTTTGTTTGATTCGAAAGCATCTAAACATTTTTCCCGATAGACCTGACCATCGCTACTCCATTAGAAATTCGGATTGTAACGTTTATTTGCCGATCCCGTCCACTCAGCTAGTAAAGAATTCTATTCTATATCGTGCAAAGAAACTTTATAATCACCTTCCAAGAGAAATTAAATCCGCAACATCCTTCATTAAGTTTCGTAAGGTGACAAAAATCTATCTCTCAGAAAGACCATATTATTCAGTTGACGAGTTTCTTAATGTATAACACAGAAACAAAATTAGTATTGTTTATAATTACATTTGGGTGTCTCAAGCAGTGGCTACAATTTGTCTCATTTGTTGTTGTCTGTACAAATTATGTAGGCTATACAATAATTTTACTAATTTAAAATTGTGTTATTCTGTTTTTTACTATATTTGTTTTTGTTTTATACTTTTTGTACTATTTGACTGATTTATTTTTTAGCTTTGTCCATAAAATTGTTCAATAATTTACAGTGACAATAAAGCGTATTTCTATTCTATTCTATTCTAATCACAAATGATATACAAAATACCTCTATCATCACAGAAACTTATATATCTTCAGATATTACACGTAACCCTGTAGGTGGCAATGTTATCATATGCAACGTACAAGATATTCATTTTATTACAGAATAATATCTAGTTGCGGATTTTCGAATTCAACATTCAGAAAACGGTGAAATTGCATATAATATAAAAGATGTCACAGAAGATACAATGACAAAAGATATTTAATCGACATCCAATAATCTGCCTTTCGTTAATATAGATAACTTATTATCTAAAGAAATTGCCACCTCAATAGACAAATTCTTTTTTGGCCAAAAACCCCAGAAAGAAAGGGCAAATAGCAAACAGAGAGTTTGCCTTTCGTGCTCACGTCTTTATATCGTTAAAATGCAGAGAGGCGTAAAATTTAAGAAAAAGAAAAAGCAGAATAAGAAAAAATTTAATTAGAATGAAAACAAAAGCGAATTGACGCAAAAGCAAACAATAAAGGGTTAAAAACAAGAAAACCAAGATGAAAGTAATAAAATAAATTACCACAAAAGTCAATTACGGGAGCAAAAAATGTCACACTGAGAACAATAAGAAAATTGCTACAGTAAATACAGGTGATATTGCAGATACAAATATTTTAAATGCAGACACACTTATTAATCATGCTCTAAATGTGCTCCATTTGTAAGTTCTCTAATCGATGGTAGAATGCGTCTACCACATTTCTCCATGATTGTCTAGAAATTCTTCGACATTCATCGATATTTCATTTCCTTAGCTATGCAAGACTTGCTGGTTAAGTTTTGTAAACTGAATTTTTCAAGTATCTCTAATAAAAATAATCTTTAGGATTGAGATCGGGTGAACGTGGAGACTATTAAATTCTACCTTGTCTACCAATTTATCTTCCGGGAAATATCTCATCTAAATAACGCCGAACATTTACACCAACTATCTGACGTTAAATTTTTTTTGATAAAAAATGGCCCAATTAAATAAGTACCTACTACAACTGACCATACATTTAATTTTTGAGGTCTTTGAGTATGGTTGTCACGCATTCAATGTAAATTTCACACGAGTTCAGCTATTCAATACGAGTTCAGCCATATGTTCACTTGATTTTATGTAGTCTGAAAGATCTTAAATACATAAAACAGTGCAAAATATGTGGATTTTAATAAATTTAAATATTTAAATGGAGAATGCTGTGATTTTGACATTTGTTCACCATTTAAATTATGAACTAAAATTGACAGTAGTTGTTGTTCAAAAAGTTCTGCAATTTAAATTGCTTCTCTAAAATGCCGTTCTCTAAACTGTTCTCCTATTCATAAGACGACGGTACAAAAAACTGTAAGGCGATTTAAGGAATCTGGAGAAGTAAAAGATAGATACCGATCAGGTTGACTGAAACGAACTATCAATGACAACAAAACTTCAGATATAAGTAGGGTGACCATAATTTTTCAACAAAAAAAAAGTACGTTTATAATTTTTAAGAAAATATGTACTCTGCTAGTGCTCTAGGAAATTTTTCTGATCAAAAGTTTACGAACCTTTAATAAAACAATGATAATAACGATTTTTTTAATCAAACATTTGGAATTATGAATTTCCTTCAGAAGTTGTGGTTTACTCTTCAAGAACTGAAACATTTCATGGCACGAAATTTTAAAGTTTGTGTAGACTTGCATGATGGCTTCCAGAGTAAATATTTTCAATTGCGATTTGTTGGGACTCCAATAGTTATTGATATTTGAGAACAACCGTTCAATCGACGCACTGGTCCCAGGCAGACAAAAAACAAACTCACATAGAATTTTGAGATTTTTCAAAGCACTTTCTTTTTGGAAGAATTCGAGCCATCGATCTTCGGTAGAAATATTTTTCGAATTCCAGTCTGCGATTTTATCTTCTGTAACGTAGGTTCGTAGACTAACTTCATCAAATAGTTGGTTCTAATTCAATATCTGACCTATGTAGTCTTTGAAAGCCTCACACGACGATAAAATTTTAGCCCAAGAAACTCGTTTTTTGAAAAAACTGTTTTAGAACTGTTGGGCAAATATCCAATAGATAAAAAATATGCTTTCAAGGGTTCGAACATTTGTATAATTCGTTCAATGGCTGGCATTAAGCTCAAAAATCTTGTTTTTGAAAACGACAACATTTTTTTTACTCGATATCAACAAAATCGCAAAACTGTTTGAGTTTCTCCGCTCTGATTGTAAAAATATAGAAATACTTAACAATCTTCACCTCAATAACCTCGATGTCTATGGGTAAGACGTCCGTCGAATTTTGTAAACAGTTATTAAAAATAGTGCCACATAACCAATTCCAATCGCGAGTTTACCACGAGAAGCATTTAATTTGCTGAATAGATTGTTCAGTACTTTTCTACTTATTCCACCAAAATTTGTATTTGTATTATCAGCAGACATTCCAATGCATTTTTGTAGTAGATTGTGATGATTCAAAATATTGACCACGTAATCTTTTAACTGCTCTGATGTTTCACCAGGAAAGTCACGTAGCTGAAGTAATTTTACTTGGGCACCATTTTCTCTATCAAAATATCTTACCATTAAGGGCACAACTTTAATTTCTCTATGATTCGACGAATCCATTATGATGCTAACGAAATTTGCTTTTAGAAGGTCAATTTCTAATTGGGATTGAGCCTCTTGAGCTAAAACATTTTCTATAATCGCCTCAGTCTTGGTTCGAGCTGCCGCAAATTTAGGTTCAAACATGCGTACAATTAGTTTTGACGTGCAGTCTAAGGATCTAAAACTTTGCAATTGCTTAATTGTATGGTAAGCAAAAGTACCTTCCTTGACAGCAATCAACATACTTGCAGAACCTAAATTTTCTTCTTTAACAAAGATTTCCAATTTGCTGCTCTTCGAGTTTGCATTAGCAGCCCACATGTGTGTTTTCTTTGACAAATGTTGTTTAATATTACTGCGACCATTGTTAGAAATATCAATATCACTTTTACAAACTTGGCAAAACACAATATGCAGTGAAACATTTGATTTTTGTTTCATAACATGATACTCTGCTTGCAACTCGACACTAAAATGGTATTTTCTTCTAGTCAATGACATGATGAAATTGTTTATTTTTCCACACAGCACAAAATAATATTAAAAACGAGAAAAACTGCCGGAATTTAAGACAAAAAGTTAATACACTAATCAACAGTGAGCGCACAAGTAACAAATAAACATAAACGTACGACGAGATATATATTTTTACTAAATAAATAAGATAATAAGATCGCAAGTGACTCCTGCGCCGATCGATTGCTGCTAAAGATAGGATATTCTGACTCTTCCGCAAAAGATCGATTCGTAAATCAATTCGAATCATAATTATATTTTGTTTGGACAAAAAGTAGGACTTAATTTTGTGTAAATAAGAAAAAGAGTACATTTAGGGGTACTTCATAAATTTTGAAGTACAATAGGACAGCGTTTAAAAATAAAGTACTGTCCTACTAAAAAAAGTACCTATGGTCACCCTAGATATAAGCAAAGTTTTGTTGAAGATCCACATACATCCCCAGGCAGGGTTTCACAAGTACATGATGTAGGTCATTCTTCAGTCTTACGTTTATTACGTAAAAATAAATTTAAATCATACAAAATAAACTTATTGCAAGATTTAAGTGAAGATGACTTTGGTCGTAGATTAGAGTTTACTGAGGTAATGATGGATAAAATTTAAAATTATCAAAATTTCGTTAACAGAATATGTTTTTCCGATGAAGCAACACTGAAATAACACTGTGTGAAAGTGTAAATCGACACAATTGAAGGTACTGGTGTGACATTAATTCACAATGATGACTGAATGCGTGGAAACCATACTCAAAGACCACAAAAATTAAATGTGTGGTCAGATATAGTAGTTACTTATTCAATTGGGTCATTTTTTTGTCGAAAGAAATTTAACGTCAAATAGTTGGTGTAAATGTTCGGCGATATTTCTTCTTCTTCTTCTTCTTCTTCTAGTTCCATGACCGTTATCGATCGTTGGATATCATGTTGGCTACCATATTCGCTATCGTGACTTTATTGACAGCAGCTCTAAATAACGATGTAGTTGATTTTCCATACCATTGCCTTAGATTTTTTAGCCATGATGTTCTTCTTCTACCTGGACCACGATTACCTTGGATCTTTCCCTGAATGATCAGATGTAAAAGATCATATTTTTTAGGGTGTCTCATAATATGACCGAAGTATTCCAGCTTGCGTTTCTTTATTATATTGACCAGTTGTGTTGTTTGGTTCAGCCGTCTAAGGACCTCCTCATTTCTAAATCTGTCGACCCAGCTTATTTTCAGTAGTCGTCTGTATACCCACATCTCAAAGGCTGTCAAGCGTTTAAGCATAGCTTCAGTTAGGGTCCACGCTTCTACTCCATACAGCAGGACAGGAAAGATGTAGCAAGATATCATACGAACTCTAAGGTCAATGCTAAGATCATGACTTCAAAGTACGTTTCTCATTTTTACAAAGGCAGCTCGGGCTTTTTCTATTCGGCTTTTAATTTCTGCGGTTGGATCCCAGCTCTCATTGATATTACTGCCGAGATACACGAGTTTCTCTACTCTGTCCAGTGTGGCATCTCCGACTTTTATACCGTCATCATGTATATAATTTTGTTTGCTAACTATCATATATTTAGTTTTCTTAACGTTGAGGTTTAATCCATACTGATCACAAGTCTGTTTTATTTTGTTCATTAGATTTTGAAGGTCTTCTCCGCAATTGACAAGGACTAAGGTATCGTCGGCATATCTAATATTGTTGACGGTTACTCCATTCACAATAATACCTTCGGTTGTCTCCATTAAGGCTTCCTTAAATATTTCCTCCGAATATAAGTTAAAAAGTAAAGGCGACAATATACAGCCTTGTCTCACTCCTCTTTTTATATTTATTTCATCCGACAGTTCTTGTTCAACTTTTATTCTTGCCACTTGATATTTAGATGAGATATTTCCCGGACGATAAATTGGTAGACAAGGTAGAATTTAATAGCCTCCACGTTCACCCGATCTCAATCCTAAAGATTATTTTTATTAGAGATACTTAAGAAATTCAGTTTACAAAACTTAACCAGCAAGTCTTGCAGAGCTAAGGCAACGAATTATCAATGAATCTTGAATAATTTCTAGACAATCATGGAGAAATGTGGTAGACGCCTTCTACCATCGATTAGGGTGCTGTCAACTCACAAATTGAGCACATTTTGAACACTTAATAACGTAACTACCATGTTAAAAAATGTTCTAAACTATCAATTGTTACGTTGTAATGTATTTGAAAATAGTTAGTATTAAAAAATTTATTGAAACAAATTACGCGTTGCCAGACTTCGGTTTTATGTATTTATGACTTTCCAGATTACATAAAATCATAAGTGTTATACATATGGTTGAACTCGTATTGACTAGGAGATTCCAATAATGACTGAATATACAGGGTGATGTATTTGAAAAACCAAAGTTACTAATAATATAAGAAAAAACGGCAAATCTGGCAACATTGTAAATATCAAATATGGAATCAAATATCAATATCACTCTAGTAATTAACTACACTTTTAAATGTTGCTCTAAGTTTAGACTCTTGAATGAAATAAAAATTACAGAAAACGATTTCGGAATGTTATTAACGTTAATGGATTAGTTCGTTGATTGAATAAACGATTAGTTCTAATTCTAAACCATACAATTATTGTAGAAACTTCACTTGATATTATTTTCAAGCTGTAGAATCTTAATACAATTTACTATTTTTACTGGAAGTAAGCCACAATTTTACTTTAAAATAATATGCCTTTATGTATTTTATGTATTTTAAATATATGCTTGTTTTGACGCTCGAGTTCCACTTCGGAAATCGTACTTAAAATACAAATTTCCGAAAAAAAAAACAAACAAAGGAAAGTATTGTAATAAAATAATTTAAAATATTTGCACCGAAATTATTGACTTATGCAAATTTGCATAAGATTTAAATATTTCCATTTTATTAAAATATTCCGATCAACGCTTAATCTGCAAATCTGTTTGTCAAGGTTGTCAAGATGTACAAAAGCATTTAAACTAAGAGTTATCATCATGACGGAATTAAAATAAAGAAAAAAAAACTTACCGTATTTACATTTAAAAACATTTCAAAGGCTTTTCAAAAACAGTTAAACCAAACTGGTGTAGATGGTTAATAAACTCTTATATATTGTCAACATATGCCCCACCCAAAACTGTTCACAAAAATTGATTTAGTATAAGAGCTAACTCACGACGAATATAAAATAAATTGTAGTGTAAATTTATTTATAGTTATTTTTAAAATGCTAATCCTATACAAGAAATACCATAAAGAAAGCTGGATAAATATTATTAAAACCATTTTGCTAAATAAAATGAGCTAGTAGTAAACTAGTAAGTTCTTGTAGTAAGTAAAAACGACGTAATACAGCACGAATTCACAGCTAATAATAAACCCTTGAAAATTGTCAACATAATTACATATCTTGCATATACCCTAAATAAGGAATGGGTCCACTCACAGGAAATAAGATGTATAGAAAAGGCGAGAGCTGTCTTCAATCACCTCAGGAAGATTTTATGTGATATGGATAATTCTACCCTTTTATATGGATTAATTGCTATTTGACTGAAAATAAGCCATAATTAAAGATAAAAATACGTTTATTGACGTTTCAATTTCCACTTCGGAAATCGTTCTCAAAATACAAACAGTAAATTAAACAAATTTTGTTTTTTGTCACATAGTGAAAAATTCTTCTAATAATTTAAGTTTATCTGACTCATTTATATTGACAATTCAGACATACATTATGCATTTTAAAGTAGACGACTTTAAAATGATATTGCCAATATTGTTGAGTTGCGCTCCTGGGACGACTTTACTTATAAGATATTTCATTCGATTACATGAAATCAACTTGAGAATATCCGTGAGAAAATATCATAGCATATAATTCGTCTTTAAAAAGACAAACACATGACATGATGACAGTAAAATTCTTAAATGAAAGAAATGGATGATAAAAAAAGAAAAATCAAAGATGCGGCTTTAATTATGCTAAATGAGGCCAATTGTGTCGCAAATTCCTCGGCATAATGTAGTAGGATCTGGTTACCAATATTGAAAGAGCAAGTTATTAATAAAAAAATACCAGTATTACTAAGTCAGTAACATATAGACTAAACATCATTTATGTTTTTTAAATAACGAAACATATAAAATCAGAATTTTGATGTTTATTTAAGGTAAACTAACTGCACGAACAAATACTTATCATGTCGGGATAGTATTATGAGGTTTTTTTCCTGGTTTTCTCCCTCATAATTTACTATGGAATCACTAACAGGAGAATTTTACTGTCATCATGTCATGTGTTTGTCTTTTTAAAGACGAATTATATGCTATGATTTTTTCTGACGGATATTCTCAAGTTAAAGTTGATTTCATGTAATCGAATGAACTATCTTATAAGTAAAAGTAGTCCCAGGAGCGCAACTCAACAATATTGGCAATATTATTTTAAAGTCGTCTACTTTAAAATACATAATGTATGTCTGAATTGTCTATATAAATGAGTCAGATAAAATTAAATTATTAGAAGAATTTTACACTATGTAACAAAAAACAAAATTTGTTTAATTTACTGTTTGTATTTTGAGAACGATTTCCGAAGTGGAAATTGAAACGTCAATAAACGTATTTTTATCTTTAATTGTGGCTTATTCCCAGTTAAATATCAATTAATTTAAAATGCCACAATAAAATAGCTTCAGAACAATATTAAGAAACATTTATATGGAGTCAAAGCCTGGACCTTGATGCAGGCCACATCCAAACGATCCATTAGTAATCCATCGTATAAATAAAGATCTGAAAATTATGCCTATGAAAATCAGAAAGGTGACATACTTAGGACATGTGATGCGCAATGAGAGTATCAACTAATTCAACTAATTTTACAAGGAAAGAAGATAGAAGGTGAAAGATCTCAAGGCCGCAGGAGGA